GGGTTCACCCAGAGTGTAGTTAAATCATTTTTAATAGAGGTAAACACTAGCTGTGTGGACGAGCAGTACTCAAGAAAATTTCTCATCAGCCGCGTTTAGGAATCATCCAGCCTAATTGCCATAACTTATTAATAATAATAGATAATCTAGTCTTTTATGACCCAGGTCTCTGGGGTCTCAGCATTACAGAGCTCTGGAGTTTGAATCCCGCCATAGCAGTGGGGGTGGGGCACACATCCTTGGTCTTCCATCACGTTAAAAAAAGGCAGATCTGGGGCTCTTCCTTATTTTTACCCCCACATCTGAATGGTCAGCTCACACATGGTCTCTCATTTGTCACCAGGAGGACTCCAGGGCCTGGAGAACTTGGGTGGGGGGGGGGGGGTCGGGGAGAGGGGCTGGGAAACAGGCCTTCTTTGTTCACGTGAGTGATGGGGGTTGAGATTTACTCCCTGGGGAAGTGAGTCTGAGCAGAGAGCTTTGTCTGAAGGAGTTGCTTTCCTCCGCATTGGTGTCCCTGGTGTCCTTTGGACTCAACCTAATTATGGCTGGGGTCGTGGTCACTGGCAGCTCCCTGCTCTGCACTTGTGTGATTCTGAATCCTGGGAGGGTGGGAAAGCGTCTTAGCCTCGGAGCGGCTTTCCATGGCTTGAATAACTTAGTGAACTTCACTTTCCCCCTTCTGTGGAGTGGTGTTAGAATATGCCCCTGCGTCTGCAGCAAGGAAATGGGAGGTCAAAGGGGGCAGGTCATCTCCTGAGTGGTTCTCCTCTGCTTCTGATTAGACTGAAATCAGAACACCATACTCTCGTTCCAGCGCTTTGATCTTCAGGAGTGACCACAGCGGATGGTTTTGGAGAAGTTGCCATGTACACAAACATTAGAGTGGGAAATGATACTGTGAACTTTTGCAGGATAATACTTTGTAACATCCACTGATTTGGGGGAACGTGCGTGTGCGATGGAGTGTACCATGTAACTAGAACACATGGGAAGTGTCAGGTTCCCTCTTTCTGCTCACCGATTTGCACAGTACCGTCTACAGATCATTCCAGCTTGAGCTTGGGTGGCCGTTTCCGTCTGGGAGAGAAGGTGTGTGAGCCATTACTAGAGAAGGAGGAGATTTATGTCCCAGACCTGGAAGACATAAATGTAGTCTAGCACATTGTAGTATCTGCATTAGTGTTTATTCAGATTTACGTGTTACTGGGAGGCGAAGATGAAAATATCGCCAGAAAGTTTTGAAAAAACATTAGCCTTAGATAGGTACATGAACATTAGGCGAGCTTCGGGGATGGAAGAGCTAAGGAACATCTTGTGCCCATGTGCCTGTACAGATTGGACACACACAGTAGGATTGGGAGGAATAAGACCATGAATCAGGCCTGGTTCCCTTCTCTGTAACGGCTGATGCTTTCCAATGACCCGAGTCGGTTCTGAGATTTGAAAGAAGTGTTCCTTGTCAAAACCACGAGTAGGAGGTGGAGGGTTCTGGACGGATGTCGAGACTGGGGTTGAGACTGGGTCTGTATTTGAGACACTAATCTCATTTCCCTGATGTTTTCAAGGTTGAAGGTTTTTGTCTGTATTCATTAAAGGGGAATGATAAATGTCTAATTTGTACTTTGCTAATAATCGAGATGAGGAGCATTTTAACTTCATTAAGGTTAAATAAGTCTCCTGCAGTCCTGGCTCAGCCTTGAACTCCATGTGTGACCTTAGGAAGGATTTTTTCTTTTAACCAAGACTTTGTTTCCTCACCTGTATGATAAGGGGATGATGAGACAAAACTCCCTTCCCTCTCAGTGGTAACACAGTGCCAGGCAGTCTAGACCTAGGGAGGCGTTTAAGGCCCATTGCTCTTATCCTCAGGAGAACACAGTCTACGTAAATAACTAATTATAACCTGAGCTATAATTGCAACATGCATGGGTTACTCTAGGAACACAGGTAGAAATGGCAAGTTCGCTTCACGGTGGCTGTGACATTTGAAGGATAAGTGGGAGGCTTCCATCAGGAGAGCAAGCTTGGTCAGAGAGTAGGTGTCCGGCTGTGGGGTCCAGGAAGCAAGCTTGTATAGACTGGTGTATTTCAGGAGCTGCCCACAGCCCTTTCCTCAGTCCCTGGGCAGTGGCATCTCACTGCTGGGCCAGCATTTGTACTGAAGATGAATTGCCAAGGCTAGAGGATACTGTGTGATGTGTGCAGGAGAGGTTTGTGCCTGCTAGAAATTACCGGTTCTCAAGTCCCTTGAGGATGGCACAGTGTGTGCTCGTCAGCTATAAAAAACTTTCTGTATGCTTCACATCACCTCTGGATGGCTTCTAAAATCTAACATAGTAAGGGCTGTATATATAACCTTGATGATGTATTTCTTGTTACTTAGAACATAATCATAAGAAAACATGTTAGTCCATGGTTTTTTAAAACCATATCTCCAATCTGTGGTTGGGTGGCTCTGGAGATGCAGAGCTCACTGAGAATGGGGCCGAGGGCAGAGTCAGTGTGGTGCCTCTGATGCAGACCATCCACATCCCACGTGACTTTGCTCTGGGTTGGGAGAAGTCTCGTGCCGCCGGGGAATTGGGAGCTTGTAAGAGTTTCTCAGACAAGCCAGAGCGACTTTGAGAGCATTGGTCCCGATGAGCATGTCTGCTCTCAAAGGGGACATGGAGGGAAGAGGCAGGATTGCGGGTGGGAGAGAGAGAAGAGAGGGTGGGAGTGAGGGTAATTAGGGTAATTAGATTGCGATAGATATGTATATGAAATTGTCAGAGAAAAGGTTTAATTAATAAAATTGGAGGATGTGCCTGAGTGGAATGAAATCTGCAGCCTAAGGTGTTCTGATCCATTGATGTGTCAGGGAAGTGTCTGAACTATTCATGGCTCTTGGCTCTTGTGACCCCATGGGAGCTGGTGTCAGATGGCACTAACGTAAAGTTGATGCTGACAATGAAGTTCTTACTTAGCTTTTAATGAAGATAAATTTAGTTGTAAACTGAGATTACAAATATAAAATATGCTCATTGCTAAAGATTCAAATACTGAGCTGAACAGTGGTGGCGCACACCTTTAATCCTAGCACTCAAGAGGCAGAGGCAGGCGGATCTCTGTGATGTTGAGGCCAGCCTGGTCTACAGAGTGAGTTCCAAGACAGGCTCCATAGCTACTGGGAAACCCTGTCTCGAACCACCTCCCCAAATGTATAAAAACTCATAGAAGATTTAAAAACTCCAATTCCAACTCCCAAAGATAAGCAATATTTTGTGGCCGTTGTCACACACCTCTCTTAAGGCAGACATGCACATGCTCATAGGCACACGCATGTATTCATGGGTCATTAGGGAGCATCCAATATTTTCATATGAACTCAACCAGAGTCTTTACCAATTAAAAATAAAGAAAACACCAAAACTCTGTGTTTATGTGGGGAGGTGGGCATGACACGTCATGACATCTCTGTGGAGGCCAAACAACAAATTTGAGGAGTCCTTTCTTCCCTTTAAGTTTTACACAGTTTCTGGGGCAGAAGCTTGGGCTGTCAGTCTTGCATGACCAGAGCTGTGCTTAACCCATCTCACCAATCCTCTTCAGTCATTTAAGTCACTGCACAGCAAGCCAAGTTTGGATTCATTGCTTTGGTTCTCTGTTGACTGTGGGCAGCATCCAGTATTTTTCCCATTGCCAACAATACTTTGGTGATCTTCTTTCTATGTTTCTCTTACATCATTAGGTGTTTTGTTGGATTAGAGTTTTGTAAGTAGTACTGTTTGCTCAAGGACTGCAGATTGGATGTTTCTATATCTTGTTAAACTGTCTTCTAGAAGTATCTTTCCTTCAAACTTTCTTTCTGGAGCCCTGCAGACAGAGCAGGTGCTAGCTCCTGTGTGGGCGATACGCTTGTATCTTGAAGATACCAAATTAAAAGGCATGAGCAGGTGAGAAGCATCATCGGTGATTGGGCAGCCAAGCTCCCGTGGACATAGATAAGAAAAGTGGTTCAGGTACCTGGCCACTACAAGATGTGGAGGAACATCTGTCTTGATTCCTAATTTCTCACTCCTCAAGGAAGTTAAAAACTCACCAACATCAGATTAAAAAATACACTGTTGAACAAAGAGGCTACACTTAGGAAAAATGGTGCTTTGCCATCCATGTATATTCGATTCAAAGGTCAAAACACACTTGTCCTTGGAGGTCCTGCTAGGAGGATACTGGTGACAGCGTGTTGGTGTTCTTTACTGCGGCTGCTAAGAACCAGGCCTTGGTACATACCAGGCTCTCAGACAGTGGTTGAAAGAAAACGCACAAAAGCATGAATACCTCGTCATTTTCTAACAGACATTGGCCTAGGGTTTACTGTGAGGACATGGGGTTATAAAGTGGAGAACGTATACATATTTTGTTTATATGATTTAAGTATGATTGAATTCCCAGCCGCATATCTGTTTATGCTTTTGTGAGGCGTTGTTGTCTACAACCAATCAGATAGCTTTTTAGAGCTTGAGAGAATCTTCAGTGTCATGCAGGCTTAGGTTTGATCCAAAGTACCGATGTTGTGGCCTTGAATGAGCTACCTTGCCTTCTGGAGACTCGGTTTCTCTAGCTATAAAATAGGAATGATTACAGAACCTGTTTTGTAAGACTGTTGAAATGGTGACATCAGGGACGTCAACAGCCACCAACTGTCCTGCTTCTTACTTGTCAAGCACTGTCCTGAGTCCTTCAGCCTTAGCACAAGCATGATGAATGTTCCCGATCATACTGTCGGTGTTGAGATTTAAGGGACTGTAAACCAGAGTTCATAAGAATCGAGTCATGATTTAGACCAAAGTGGTCTCCACCTATGGCCTGAGCTTGGTGCTCAAGGGAGTGCTTTATGGAAATTATTTAGCAAAGCCAATGTGTGCAAGTTAATGTCTCGCTTTCTTCTTCACTGTTATTAATATTTTTATCTTTCTCTCTTTCCTTCCCTCTCTCATTTTTTCTCGTGTCCTCAGATGTTTTCCAGCAAGGTAAGATTCCCTGAACCCTGTTGCCCTTCTGTTGGCTATGTGCTTTGGTTGACGGGACTCTGCCTTCTTTAGAACGTGTCTTTGGAAATTAAGGGACCCTATAAGGACGGTGGCATGAAGTACCTTCAATCTTTCTGGGGGTCTGCATCTTCCTCAGAACCATGTTTGGGGGATTCTATAAGGATGGTGGCATGAAGCACCTTCAGCCTTTTCTGGGGGTCTGCATCTTCCTCTGAACCAAGTTTGGGGCTAGGGCTGAGGTTTAGACATCTGGGGAGGAGGGCAGGGTGGGCATGGGGTTTGGGTATCTCTGGAGGGGTTTGTCCTTCAAGAATCCTGTATCTGAGGCAGCTCCTACTTTAAAAAGGCTCCCCAAGCCAGTTCCAATGGATGAACAAACATGTAGACCAGGGGGTGTGGCTCTTAAGAGCAGGCTGGCTTGCCAGTTTGTGCCCTCCAACATAGCCATGCCTCATAGCCTTTCCAACTGACAGAGTTAGGTAACAGAGAATGGTGTCCTATTTTACAGGTCTGGTTAGCTAGAAACCAACATGTTTTCTCTCTGCTGTCTCTGACTGGGTATTAGTCCTCACTGTGTATAGCGGTTGTGCTCTGGGTTCATGAACTGACTAGAACCTTCTAGATGCTCATGATGGGGAACTGCCTTCCAGCCTAGTTTGGGTAATAGTGACAGACGTTCGTTGTTTGTATCCAAGCTGGGAGATAAGTCTGCTGCATCCTTCTGGAACCCAAAGCTGCTTTACAGTAAAGGTTTAAAAATATGCCCAGGCATTCCATAAATACCCTCCAAATATTCTTAGAGGCTCGGGACTTTTTTCACAACTGTTATTTCACCCCAAACATGCAGCTCATGTTACGGAGAATATCCGTTCCCTGTTAGAAGACGGGTTGTGGGTAACGACGAGGGTTCTGTTGTGTTGTCTTTTAAGAGTCTGGAGTCGCAGACCTGCTTTCATAAATAATTCAGAAAGTTCCAACAAGCTCTAAGCAATAAGTTCCATTTGACTAGCGACTAAGAGATGAGCAGAATTGAAAAGGTGTCGTGACTGTTGGTGTAATGAGAGTGTGCCGCTATCAGAGTCCATGGTTGCCATGGTCGCAGCGAGCTCTCGTCCTTGACAGATTGGGGGTTCGGCGAGATGCTCGGGGAGTAGAGCAGCCCCTGCATATGAGCTGCGGTGTGAATACTACCCTACTTCAAACGGGATTTCTCTCCTGGAAACAAAAAGCTCTGGAGTTGCCAGCGTGTGTTTCAGGGATGTTGGTGAAGGGGAGGAGGAGAGCCTTCCATCAGGTCTGCTTTCCCTGTGTCACGGCGAGCCTTCCTGAGCACAATAATTGATCCAGAGGACGGCTGGCAGGCTGCTGATGTCAAATTTGTGTCCTTTTTTCATCAGTCATGGGATTCGATTGATGAGATTTGCCTGTCAGTTGCAATGATACGCACAGTAAAAGTTGTAATCATCTACAAATCACTGGCTATTGAGACCTAATAGCATCTGAAAGAGGAAGAAGCCCACAGCCGAGGGCTGCCTAAGCCTCGTGTGGCGGAGGTGGCATCTCCCTCGTGAGGTATTCCTAGGGTCTGCGTCCCTGAAGAAAACTGATATGCTTGGGGCTTCTCAACTGAGGGTGGGACTTCCTGAGTCCTTCCCCATCCTTGCTGGGGTTTCGGCTGTCTTGATCTTCTGCAGATCTTGTGTGTGCAGCCACCACAGCTGCTTTTAAGTTCACCTGGACATCTGCACTGTCCTGCACAGCTGCAATGTTTCGCTGCCGGGAATACTCTCTCTGGATCTTTAAGTCTTCTCTTGGTGATTCTGGGCTTTAGTGTGATGTTGTTGTCCCATGTAGAGCTGCACATTCTTCACTGTTTACCAGTGTCGACTCTCTGGATCCGTGCCCAAGTAGATGCCCAATACCGGTGTACATGTGGGCAAATGAATATAATTAGTGAGGAGATGGGAGGGAAAAGTGGTAGTGGGGGAAGTGATGGGGGTTTGGAATTGATGAAAACATTACGTGGATATATAAAATTCTCAAAAATAGTACACTTGCAAACGTATAGACCAAGTTCAATATACATATTTTCTACGTAATGGTTTTTAATATTTTCCAATTCCATGAAATTTATTTTACCCATATTTTGTGTAGTGAATTTTCTACCCTGAGTGCCAGAACTTTGGAATTGCATTTGTCATTGAGATGCTACCAGTTCATAGAACATTTTTATGTTGAACATACATATAAAGGTGTCACTGGGACAATGCAATTGCTGTTAAGTATGTACATGGCTCTGCTCCTGGAGGGCCATTTTGTACTGAGACACCTTAGAAATGACGGCTGAGAGCTTACAAACCCAGTGCCCACCCTTCCCCCAGTGTTTCCTGTTACTCTGCCACTCTACCTAGGAGATAATGCTCCAGACAGTGCTGACAGACACAGGAGACCGAGCCAGAGCATTCTGCACCCTGTATACAGACTCTGGAACTGCGATCGTTACTTCCTGAGAACCAGGAGACTTCAGTTGTGGCAGAAAGAAACAGCAGAAATCTAGTGTTTGCAATGCCATGGATGCCACTGGGCCGTTTTCTGAAACCCATTTCACGGTGGCCACTGACCATGCCTCTGCCTTCCTGAACGCATCTGTGGCTTGGGCTTGGCCAAGGGGCTGGGTTGGTTTACTGTGCAGCTGCGATTTACCTGTCTGCCTGCTGTATTCCTGCGTGTGTGTGCTGCTGAGCACCGTGGCAGGCAGAAACGGGAAGCAGGCGTAAGGTTGACAACATCAGACATTCTCAGAGGAAACACAAGTTATTTCCTCTGGATTGCATTATCTTCTATTTCACTACAGATCAATCTTGTTACTGTAGGTGACAGCCCGGCAGCTACTGCTGGGCCTTTCAGGGCTGCATGTGAGGTGCGTGTTGGTGGGAGTCTGTTTCTCTCTTGATCCAGTGACATTTTATTGCTTGCTTTGGTACTTTCATCTAGAAATGCCGCCGCGTCCTGTGGTGCTTAGGCCACGGGGTCTGAAGACAGTCAAAGACCATCTTTTCCAAATAAAGAACCAGGGCCAAAGAACCGTACTTCCTGTTGCTCACGAGCTCACGAGCCAGTGGCGGCTCTCACTAGTTCCCAAGTACCACACAGTGGCTCTTCAAGAGTGTACTGAGACGCCATCTGTGGACACGCATGTCTCTACTCTCAGGTTTTAGATCCCTTCATACCAATCATTTGACGGCGACAAACAGGTCTCCGTGCACTTGCAAACACACTCCCACACACACATGCATGCTTCATTTGAAGCCGCTGAAGCTCCTTTTGAATATTCACTCATCCATAGATGCTACCTTGATTCCAAAATCGAACAGAAACTCAGCAAGCGGCTTCAGAATCAGAACCCTATCGTTCAGTGGGGCACTTGTGAAAATAGATGGGCTCAAGCGTCTGGATTTAGCCACGGAGTTAATTCTCTCCGTGCTCAAGTCCCTGCATGACCTGAGGCCAAGGAGGCAAAGTTTTCCCCCACCCCTTCCAGCTTCTGCCTGGAGCTGAGCTTTGCTAGGGGTAGGATGTCACCTTTGTCGTGTGTTTATCCTGCTCTCGTGATTAGGAGTCAGGTGCTTTCCAGGCCTTGATGACTGGGACTGAGCAGGACAGCAGCATGGCATTTTCATGGATCTCACAGTTGGGCATGGGGGTGGGGGGGCAGCCAAGGAAGCGTTTAGAGTGTGTCAGGTGAAGGAACTGCTCCAGGGTGACATTCTGGTGCCTGGGAGGGCCGCCTTCGGTGGTGTGGTCAGAGAAGGACAAAGACGATGGACTGGAGGGTCTAGATGAGTGGACAGGAAGGACTTGCAAGGGAAGAGCCCCTCAGGCGGGTGCCCAGTGTCCTGGGATCCTGAGGAAGCAGGTGTCATGGAGCTGGTGAGTGGAGAGAACTGTGCAGAATTAACTAGGAAGATAGAGCAGGAGTGAGGTCTGGGGCTCGGGAAGGAAGCCGGAAGGGACTTTTCAGCAGACGAATGGTCAAGACTGACTTATATGTACAAATATGTTGGCTGCTGATCACAGAGGACGCATGCAAACTAGTCTAGATCTACATGCCCAGTGGGCCAGCCCTTGCCCTCTGATGTGTCTTTGCTCTCCTGGATTGGAAATAAACATCCTGTCCAAGTTACAAAATCACCTTTCTCCAGTGTATAAACACGTGTATGCACATGTGTATTACTTGTGTGGTATGACGCCCATATGTGCCTTTTCTCTGTTACATAAACAAGACTACATTTGGCGCTAGGTATCTGTCCTCAGACGTCCACAGGTGGAAAATGGGATCAGGCATTTTGAAGGCACTGAGCATGTGCCAGTTTATTTTTTCGTTTCCCCTTGATCTGTATATCTTAGTGACTTTGTACCGAGTGCTTTCATTGTTACGAGCCATCTAGAGACGATTTAAAGTGATGGGTGGATCTTATAAGATCGTACATATATGTAAGAACTGTTGGCTTTATAAAGGTCTGAAGCACCTGTGGGTTTGGAGTTCTGCAGAGGGTCCTGGATCCATCCAACAGGTTCCAGGGCACGACTGACTACATAGGAGATTAAAAACAGAGTCTGGAGAGATCACTGAGCAGTGACGGGCGTGTAAGGCCCAGTGTGAATCAACACCTACAGCAACAGCTTACAACTGTCTGTGACTCCAGCTCTAAGGGACCTGGCTCCTCCTTCTGGCTTCCTGGGTTACCTGCGCTCACATGCATATAACCACACACATGCATAGCAGTAAAAGAAACATTTAAAAATAAGGCACACACATGGACATGCACACACACTAAGACAAAGTTTGAGACAGAGGTAGAGTAATAAATTCTAAGGTTCCTTCAGCCCCCGGCTGTATAGGAAGAGCGATTGTGCACCCATGTGGCTGTGGACACCTGGATTCTCATGCCTGTTGGCCACAATTCCTTAGCTCTCCA